TCAAGCCTAGACAGGGGAAGTCGAGAGGCAGAGGTCGGGTTCGAACCAACGGACCTTCAGTCAGTAAATTCGCGCTCCAACCACTTGAGTCATCTCGCCCCTTTGGCCTACTGCAACACAGACTGTAGAGATAGTGCATACAACCTAATGGAATGTAAGCCTTGGTCGCCCTTCGGAAGAAGAAATAAGGTAAGAAATAGCCGTACCCAGCCCCCTTCAAAGAAGGCGGTTAGCTGTGGCATCAAAGGTGCTCTCTGGTCTTATCCTGAACACAGAGAGAGGCAAATCCGTGAAAATCAAGCTGGGTTTCGTCTTGCAAGAGGATGCCCCGGTCATATCTTCACTCTCCGACAAATTCTGGAACAGCGACAGCTCTTCCAGCAACTAACAATGATTGTGCTTTTTGATCCTAATGCTGCCTTTGACTCTGTGGACCGTCAGGCACTATGGCAGTGTCTGCGAAGCAAAGGCGTCCCTAATAAATTCTTGACCCTCCTTAAGGCGTTGTACGCTAACCCCCGCTGCCGTGTGAAGGTCTACGGGAAGCTCTCGCCTGAGTTCACCAAATCAAGTGGTGTCAAACGGGAGTGTCCTCTTTAACCTTTCCTATTAACTTCATCCTTCATACGATCGTGGAAGACTCGCCATCAACCTCTAATGCCTGTATTGTCGAAGTGCTCTCTGGGCGTCCGCACACAGACATCGAGTGTGCAGACGTCATAGCTCCTCTCGGATCTGACCCCGTGGTAATTCAAACAACACTAAATAGTCTAAATAATTCTGCCTCACTGTTCGGCATGCGTTTCACACCTTCAAAGTGTAAAGTGCTACTGCAATACTGGGTGGGCTCATGCTTGCGGATGAACCGATTGACGTAGTAGACAAATTTGTTTGCCTGAGCAGCTGTATCAGTCCCGGTGGTCTCGCGAAAGATGATATTTCCATCCGTATTGGGAAGGCCAGAGCAGCTTTTGCGAACCTACGTCACCTGGTAGGCGTGGCATTATCTTATCCGTCAGAGATCGAGTTTACAATGCTGCGGTGCATTTCATACTACTCTGCGGATCAGAAACCTGGCCGCTGAGTGCCAAGAACGTCCAAAGGCTTTCAGTTTTTGACCATCGATGACTTCGGAAGATTGCCCGAGTCTCGTGGGAATACGATCAGCAATACTGAAGTGCGTCAAATGGTGTTCGGAAAAAATAACTCACCCTCGATAGATGACCCAACTTGACAGTCCACTGACAGTGCTGTATTTACGCGCGAATTTATCAGCTCGCCTCCAATGCGCAGCTATTTACCCCACCTCTCCAAATCATCGGCGAACGAAACTGCGGTAGCTACAACCACTGTACGACAAGTACGCGGTTTTTACAGCTGACAATGATGATGATGACTCGTGCGCTCAAGTATTCGGCAAACACTACATTATCTGAGCTTTTAGCTCGCATTTGGGGCATTCAGGGTGTCGTAAAACTTGTCTTTGGTGTCACAGCTAGTCAGTTGGGTCGCAAGTAGACACGACAAAAACACATCGACCACCCCACCTCTTGTGAGACTCCTTCACAGACGTTGCCAAACGACCTGCGTAAAGGCGAACATTAACGGGTATTCAGTCAAGCAAGGATCTCTCCTCCCGGTGACTAAGGACGATACCAACCCTTGTAAATCCCGCCGCAGAATGGCTCAGTGAGTAGAACACGAGTTTACTGACCGGATGGTCTGTGTTTAGAACCCGACCTCTGCCTCTCGACTCCCCCTGTCTAGACTTGGGCAACATGGCAATATCTCAGCCCTGGTGCTTCCTTCGGGTGGCACGGTAGTTGGGCATCGAAATGATGGTACAGCTGAACGATTATCTTTTTATCCCGCCGCAGCAGCCTCTGGATCATCAGAGATGCGCAGCAGGAGGCGTGAAGAACGATGACCCGGTCATCTCGATCACTGTGCTTGCATCTTGAATACAGTTATTTAAGCATAATAGATGCGTGAATGAGCACCTCTTCCACTTATAACAAATCATTTCCCCCTCATTGCTCAGCTACTTGTGAGGGACATGAATGGTCTCCCATCCTACAAATTGCTCCAAAGACTTAGACCGTCAATGCCGGTGAATATTAGAGGCATGATAGTTCCGTACGTAGCGAACAAATGGAATCGAGTCATGATCGAATCACTTCCAGTTTCACATGGGAATGCGGAAGAGGTTGCCTTATTGCATGACGCCTGCTAAGTAAAGGAGGCTCATGTATGTCGAATTGGCGTGTTCATTTGAAATACTTTGTTTGACAGAAGAGCCGCGGATTCAGAGGGCCGCGTTTCCAAACTAACCTGAGTTTATGCGGTGAAACTGACGAAGAAACAAGGTTTGCAAAAAATGGTTCGCCAAGGCCGGAATTAACACCCCACGCAATTCTGACGAGTGTACTACATAGCTGGCCCCTTCCTCTTGCTTGGATTCTGGGTGCATCAACATGCGTCGGAAAAAACTCCACTGTCAATTAATCCCGATTTGGTCGGACCCTGCAAATGCCTGTAAGCTTCGCCTGTATATGATTGGTTGATTGTCCGGTTTCACGGATTCAGGATCCACCAATCGATAAACAGGATCTAGGGTTTTGCCCAAGTTTCCCGGAACGGGTTTGTTTTTGTCTTTCAGCAGTTTCTGAAAGGCAGGAGTGAAGCGCCGCTCTTTGCTTTCTCAGGATTTGCAAGTAAACTTGCCGGATAAGGGACGCATAATAAGGACGTGAAAGTTATTTGAACTGAGTCCTAGAAGACAGCTATCGAACAAAGTTAATTCCAAACACCAACTGCCCGAAGTGAAAAATGTTCTCTAGTAAAAG